CCAGGAGCAGTGGGATAGCGGTTCAGAAGCCCATTCCTCTGGGCCAGGAGTGGCAGGATGGACAGCGCCCCCAAAGTCCTTTCCTCTGGGCCAGAAGTGGCGGGAGGGATGGTGACGGGTAAGCCCCTTCCTCTGGACTGGGAGGGGCGGGCTGGATGATGGCCCAGAAGCCCCTTCTTCTGGACCAGGAGCAGTGGGCTGGTGGCTCAGAAGCCCATTCCTCTGGACCGGGAGTGGCAGGATGGACAGTGCCCCAAAAGCCCTTTCCTCTGGGCCAGAAGTGGCGGGAGGGATGGTGATAGGTAAGCCCCTACCTCTGGGCCGGGAGCGGCAAGACGGATGGCAGCCCAAAAGCTCTCTGTTTACTGTTTTCATGTGTAATGTGAAGTATCTCATTTAACTCCCAGCACCACCAACAACCAAAAGTATCAGACAAATATTAGACTCATTCCCATTTTATAGCACAGAAACCAGAGGGCCAAGATGATAATGCACATTGTCCAGGAACACACAGCTGATGACAAATCAAGTTCATTGACAATCTAGCCTGACTGTAGACCCTTGCTCTTAACCTATTTACTTCAACCCATTTTGCTACAAATGTCTATATTTATAAAGGGCAGAAAAACCTCACCCAGATGATTAAACTAAGAAAGTTATATTAAGCTTTCTAATCCATTTTAATGTAATTAGAAACCAAACTTCACAATGAGCCCAAGTTTAAAGTAGTCTAATGAACTTGGACAAGCTCAGGCAGGTTGCATTATGTGGTTCATAGCATTCATTTGTTCTGAAAGCTAATTAGTAAATATTTGTATTATCTGAGCCAGTGGTGGCCAACCTATGGCATGCCTGTTATTGTGTTTTTCTTTTAAGACACAAGATTTTAATGTAGAGTTGTTTTTCTAAACTAAAACCTCAGTATTCAGGTTTAATTTCAGTGTTGGCACTTTGAGATGAATAAGTGGGTTTTGGGTTGCAGTTTGGTACTCGGTCTCTAAAAGGTTCGCCATCTCTGGTCTGAGAGGACCAACCCTCTCGGTTTGCTCAGGACTGAGGGATTTCTCAGGGCATCATTCAGTTTTACTTTTTATTTTTTATTTCTTGGGTTTTCTTGAGACAGTCTCATTTTGTAGTGCAAGCTAACCTTGAACTCACTATGTAGCCCAGGCTGGCCTTGAACTTTCCAAGATCCTCCTGCCTCAGCCTTGCGAGTGCTAGGATTACAGGTGTGTGCCACCACACCTAACTCATCATTCAGTTTTAAAACCAGTACATTCCTAGGCAAACAGGAATGGCTAGTTGTTTTTATCATGTAAGGGCAATTGGTCATAAATGTAATCTGCCTCTTTCTCTTATTGCAAACTTACGTGGTCTAGCAAACATGAGTTTTGCTTCTCTTAGGTTTCTTCTTCCTTTTTTTTCCAGACCCCCCCATTCATGATATTAATATGCTTTTATCTCTCTCCAGATACACAGTTTGAGGAGACGTAATCAGTACCAAAACTTGTGATTTTCAAGCAGGGGTTCTCAGCCTGTGGTTTGGGAGTTCAGGGATGAAGGGACTCATGAGATGCAGGCAATATTGGGACTTCAAAGGCCCAAGAACTGAAAAAGGAACCTGGGAAAAGAAGAGAAAGTGGAAGACATAGAAAGATGGAATAGAAAGGGGAGCCTGGAAGGAAATCTTGGTACTGCAATAACTGAGACTGTGAGTGTTTGTGAAAGAGACAAAAGACACTTCTGAATGAGGAGCAGGTTGAGAATCCCTGATGAATGGTCAGCTCTTGCAGAAGTGCCCATTGCCTCCACTCAGTGTCTCCATGTGTCTTCTGCCCCGCTGACAGTCCCAGCATTGCAACAGTAGTTAGGTCTGAGTTGTTTCTATTTATTTTGAGTCTGTGGTGTCTTCTTGTCAGGTAAGCATGGTAGTGAATTATTTCTTTTGAAACTATAGTAGCTGTTAGAATTCTGCTACTTAACTGCTTGTTTGTGTTCAGGAAAGCATATACTATTTGTGAGGTGCTTAGCATCCTCTGTAAGTATTGTTACAGATAGGAAGCATTGGGTTGTATGGATCTTAACTTATTTAACCGACTCACTAGTTGGGCTGACTTGAATAATGTTATCCTCAGATTTCAAAGGTCTGTTACAGTGTCAGGTGTGTGTAAATATCAGCTTTACAACTGTGTGGTATCTTATTCATGTAATCTCATTTCTAACAACCCTGTCATGGTAACCCCTATACTCATTTAATAGCTGAGGATGTAGAGGGCTTACATAACGTGCCCACAGCAGGAAATAGCAGCCCTCAGATTCTACAACTTACCTCCTGTCCTTTTAGAGTGCAATTTATAGCTGTACTTTCAGAAATTTATTCATTCAAAAAGTATTTAAGTGCCTTTGTGTATTATGAGTGCCTTGCACCATGCCAGGCATAGAGTCTACACATGTGAGCAAGACATAGTATCAATGGAGTATACGTACATGTTTCAATAATCAAAGCAATTTTAGTTTATAAGAAATCAGCATTTAAAAGAACTGGGGAAAATATCTCTTGACTTCCTTTGCTAGCATTATGTTTACACTGATTTATTTGCCTTTGCCATGTGATCTGATGTTTTTCTATATAGTGTCTGTTATGGCTTAGGCGTCTTCTTTCTTTTCCGATCTAAATACTATTGAGTTTTGAATTCACACTCTTCCATGATTCAAAATTCAAATGGTCCAATAGAAAACAATAAAAAACTTCCATTCCATCCTCCTAGGTATCCACTTTTCCTTTCCATGGGCAACAGATATCACCTTTTGTCCATGTATTCTAAAGATAGTCTCTGTATAGAAATGTATGTTAAAAGTACATTTAAATTTTTCTCAGAGGTAAAAAATTATGTATCTACTATGCACTTTGCAATTTTTATTTAATACATTATTTTCTATGTAGCAAGTGGAACAAATGTGAGGTGCCTGAAGTCAGAAACTGTGTCATGTCTGTTTCTAGATTATCTTTCCCATAGCCTCTTAGCATCTTTGATGTGATTTACTACATGCTGTGTATCTACTACATATAGCTTTGGACAAACACCACCATCAAGTGTTTGGTCTATGACTGACTTTAGATTTGACTTATTTTGTGTTTTCTTGAAAGGAGACCCATGGGTTCCCCAGGGTACAGTGAGTCAATCCAATACTAATGGCAGCCTTAATACTAACTCTGCATGATGAAACATGTCTGGAACTGTTTTTTCTGTTTCCTCTTGAGTATAAACTTCACTTTGCTGCTGTACGTGCATAATTGCATGTTCTTCTGGAGATTCTAACAGTGGACCTTGATTTCCGGCTGCACTGGGTCCTCATCTGTGCAGAAAAGGTTCATCATCTCGGCTTGAACCCTGAATGCCACTGGCTCTCATCACTACAGGGACCTCCCAAGATACTGTTTTCCAGAGACTTATAGGTTCAGATGGCCTCTCAGGAAGTCCCAGAATTTTCTTTCTCTTTTGACCATTTACTGGCATCTTCTTTGGCGTCAAGATGGAAGAAACAGACTTTCCAACTGAATCCCTTCTGTTATCTGCTTGTATGTATTTATATTTATACAATAATTTGTGACTCTGGCTGAGCATGAACACACATTCGCTGGATTCCTAAATCGTAATACTTTCTGTGGCATTGGATTTGAAAGGCACTTTACCCTCTCTGTGTTGTGTTTCATTGTAAATGACATAAGCAGAGATGATATGTAATTCTGTATTTGTCACTGTTTGAACTTGTGTTAACTTAATAGAATATTCCTATTTATTTTGTTCCTCAATATACTTGCCTGCTCATTTTCGTATTTTCTCATGTTTTATAAAACTACTCCCAGTTTAACCTCCCAGTAGAGAGTTCCTTAGAGTATCTGAAGCCCTCTTCCTACTTTTTTTCTTTTTCATAGCTTTTAGGTTCACAGCATGCTTTTCAGACCTGCAAAAAAACAAAGAACTTATTTATTTTTTAAAAAATAATTTATTGACTAATTTCACTCTCTTACACATTGTAGCTTCTTTCAGGACAATACCAAGAAGAGTCAAAATTCTGTCATCCATATTGAAGATCTGCAGAAGCAAGGGTGGGAGAGGAGGAGTGGAACTCGAGAGAACTAGGGAAACAAAGGGGCTTTCCTTAAAGAGCACACCCTTCTGGGGTCTGTAGACATGGATGTGCAAACCAGTGCTTGTTGAACTAGATGCAGTTCAGCCTTCAGGTTCTGAGAGGGAAGTGAGAAACCTAGAACTAAGTCAAATTGAGGATTAAGGCCTAAGAGCTGGGTGGGACCATAGGAAAATCTGTGGTTTTTAAAACAAATATGACAACACTTATCATTCAAGAAAGTGTAGATTTTTTAATGTGTGTGGTTTGACTATTTAGTCTAATCAAATTCAATTTAAAGGGAAGTTTTAATTTATCTCCATCCTTTTTAATTTTTCTGTTACTGTATGTTTGCAATAATACATCATAGTTATATTCATTTGGGGGATTGGTATATGGATATACCACGTCTTGATCATTTTGATCCTTTTGGCTCCCTCCCTACCCTCCTTTCCCTCCTCTCCTCCTGATCCCCTTCCCCATTTCCAACAGTCTGCTTTTATGTTTCCTGACATCTCTCCTTTGTTAAAGAAACTTTTGATCATTTCTCAAAATCAGATACTCTGAAAGGACAATGGCTATTTCTAATAATATATGCCAGACTCATATATATA